TTAACGAAACTTGGTACGTGGACTTCTTTTGGGCATAGGACGGATGGTATTGAAAATGGGCGAAATCGGACAATAACCACGCCTACCTTCCATATAACGGTAATTTTCAGAAATACGAAAAGTGCGATATTTTAGTAACTACTGAAGATAATTCACTCAAAATTGATATTTACAATGAGTTTTAGACGAAAAATAAGAATATTAAAAAATTTTGGCAAATGGGCGTAGCCACGCCTACTTATGGTTACATGTGTATATCTTGGTAACCGCTGCACCAATATCGTCCAAACTTGGCACAGTTGTTGATCCTGCTACCACATACCAAATGGCAAAATCGGACAATAACCACGCCCACATCCCATATAACGGTAATTAAGAAAAATACGAAATCCTCGATAAATCAGTAAATATTAAAGCTAATTTATTCAAAATTGATGGTTGCAACAATTTTTTACCAAGAAATACGCTTATGATACAATTTTGGAAAATGGGCGTGGCACCGCCCACTTATGATCACATATATGTATCTTGCTAACCGTTCTAGCAATTTGAACCAAACTCGGTATGGTTATTGTGCTTGCCACATAAAAGCAAAGCTTTGAAAATTATTGAAATCGGACTAAAATTACGACTGCTTTTCATATACTTAAAATTTATACACCCCGGCTTATCGTGTAGCGGTAGCTTTCGGAAAGGTGGAAAACATATATTTAATAATTGCGCCGGGTATTTAATGTTCGGCTCCGCCCGAACTTAGACTTTCTTACTTGTTTCATAAGAAGATAAAAAAAAAACTGGAATGATTAATTAATTTGTCAGAACCTATCAGCTCTATCAGAAAGTGATGTATATATGGTTTATGGAGAATTTTATTACCTTTGATTTGACTTATCTCCTTTTAAGATTGTTAAATTGGTTCGTAAGCTATTCGTGATTAAGTGGAACGACTTTTTGTTTTAAGCTAAATAACGGTAAATTGCAAATCTCGAAAACGTGTCCATAGACACGCACTGCCTTTGATTTTTAGTAATTTGATGTGGGGTTCCA